ACTTAATGATTGAAAACTTCTTGTTCATTGCACAGAGTGATGTTCGGATGTAGATTCTTACACTGTTATCAAACTAAAACCAAATGATGAGAAGTATATATGCGTAGTATGTTTTGACAATCAGCACATTGACATTAACAACAGCATGTAATTGAATAACAACTAGTACATTATTGGGAGAGGCCAGATCAGGACTAAGAACAACAAATGGAACTGGTGATGAAGCCAATAAACAAGGGGGGATTCAGTTGTAACAACAAGCTGATAGGGTGCTTTGATAGAGTCTATCGTTTGATTAGTTCTTCATTGGTCTGTCGTTTTCATGTGACTGCAAAATTTGGTTTTGTTGCAATTATTAGATTTTGTGTTAGTGAGCAATTCATTGGTCTCAAATGAAATCAAACGTACTATGAGTTGGTGGGTTACTGGTTGAGGCTTGTGAAGACATGTTGTAGGTGGTTCCGCTCATGTTCTAGGTCATTGCTGCTGGAGCAATGTTCTTAGCGTGCTTGATCAGGGTTGAGATGACGCCAAACTTAGTTTTAGGGGGCTGGTTTGACAAATTCGAAATCTTATCCACCAAGAATCAGGACTTCACAAAAAGAAAACTTTTGGAAGCCATCAAAATCAGCCGCCACAAACCTTTCATCAATAGAGACCAAGGATACTACATACCATTGGGATATGAAGAACTAATCAAACTATAGACTCTATCAAGGACATGCTTGTTAGATGAACAAATGCTGTAGTAGAATACATGATTTCAGATGATGACTGTAGTCGGATTAACTACTGGCAAAGTGGGAGTAAATCAAGAATGCTGATCAAACAAGCATTGGATCACTTAGCATATATAAATTAAAATATAAAACACATAAAATACAGAGAAGGCATAATCCACGAGTGGTAACGGGAGACTGTATAGACGGATTTTATCATCTAATTGGTTGTTGTCGGTGCAATAAAGCAATCTGATAAACTTGGTATCCAAATCGGATAACTATGCAAATTGCGTCAATCCACGAACTACTTTCACAAAACTCCATACATGCCATGCGAATTCCAAAACGTTAACATTTCATTGATAACGTCGTCACGAGTTTACATTGTTTGTAAACAAACATTGCTGCCCCCATTTTCAAAATTGGTGATTCTGTAAGAATTGATGACTGAGGTTCTGGAGTCGTTACTGCAGTAATTAACTTTGGAAAACATGAAACGGTGTACTTCGTTCACATTGAAGGTACGGATTATGAGGCACGACTGAAAAGCAATCATCTAAGAAAGGTACCAACCAAGGATTTCGATCTAACGATCACAATGCAGATGACGAATCGATTCCGTCAGGTATCAGAAACTGATATTGATGAGGTGATTACCCGCAAGGAAAATAGAAACACTGCCAGGAAATCCCTGCCAGGTTTTGTTGTTCCTTTCAGACAGAAAGATCTCATTTTAAGCATGAGTTTTGTTTGCACTGTATTAGCAACTAGTCACAACCATATGCCGCTGTCATGAACGACCTTCACCTTGGTGTACCGCTAAGTATTCTTATGCGAATGCTCGATTCTTTTCATATAAATTCATGTACGATTTGCTTCTTTTTTTAGAGTAATTTTAAGAATGACATTATATGATAAAGAGATTATTAACCTCGTGTGTTTCCGTATCATTAATATCATATATTAGGAATACAAATTGTATTATGCGAGCCCTTAGCGAGCATAATACATATTTTTTTATTCCTAATATATGATATTAATGATACGGAAACTCATGAGGTTAATAATCTCTATTTATTTGACCATGCTACAACATGCTACATTTTAGTTTATTCCCAAATTTGACAGTGAAATGTTTCTAAAATGCCACTCAAACAAGTTATCCGCCGTCTACATGGAGACATGGCAGCTCATACCATCAACTCCCTGTCTCGTCTTGAGAAGAACCACATCCTCTCAAAATCAAAATCAAAATCAAACTGACAGTATCGCACCCCCAGCCACCTTATGCCAGAGCAACAGTCAAAATCTACAAGAACCCCGTTAAAACTCGTCTACTAGTCTGTTCCCATGACACTGTGTTCTACAGTACTGTCCAGCAGCTTACCCAAGTACTCTCCCTGTTAGGTAAATCTGCCAACTGCTTCATCAACGATTCAACTGACTTCTGCTGCAAGATCCGTGACATCACCAACCCAGGTCCCATCATCAACTACGACGTTGTGGACCTATTCACCAATGTACCTTGGGAAGAAGCCCTTCGAGCACTACGCCACAGAATTGACAACCTTCAACAACCCCTCAACTCTAGTCTCTCTACCGACTCTATCATCAGTCGAACCTCCGCCTGCATCAACTTCACCTGGGGCGATGCTATCTATGAGCAAATCCACGGACTTCCTATGGGCTCCCCGCTATCCCCCATCCTAACAGAAATTTACATGACCGACCTGAAAGATAAGGCTCTAGAAACTGCACCCTTCAAACCTTCCTGCTGGTACCGCAAAGTGGATGACACCTTCGTCATCCTCCAACCTCAGCAAAATCCAATGCAGCTCCTCGCCCATCTCAACAACCAACATCCCCGCATCAAATTCACCATTGAAATAGAGCAGAACAACCAACTACCTTTCCTCGACGTCCTTGTATCTGGTACCTCCTGCAACCAACTCCAGACCTCTGTGTACAGAAAACCTACCCATACGGATCAATACATCCACTACAACTCCAACCATCCCCCTAAAGTCAAGACCGGCGTCATCTCTACATTGACCAGAAGGGCCAAAAACATCTGCTCAACAAATCTACAAGAAGAAATTGAACACCTAAGGAAAGTTTTTGTAGAACGTAACCACTACCCGCCTGAAATAGTCAACAGAACCATCGAAGCAACGCTGTCCATTCCTACCAAAAGATCTAAACCAGAATCAGCCCCCATCAAGATATCCATTCCCTAAATTGGTAAACTATCACATCAAATCAGCCGACTCCTGAAACAACAAGCAGGCATAGACACAACTTCCTCCATGCCAACGGAAGAAAACAACCCACCAACAACAACAACAACCAGAAATGAGTTATTTATAAAATATACTGTGATTGTGGACAAAGCTACATAGGTGAAACATCGCGACCCATGAACGCCCGAGTCAAAGAACATCGCACCTCCGTTACTAATTCCGACAGCAAATCAGCCATCTCTGACCACATCAAAGCAAACCCCAATCATCAAATAGAGTGGCCTGACATCACCATTCTCGCCAACATTAAACGCAAACTCACCGAAGCCATTCACATCAAACGCCATAAGCCGACCATCAACCGTGACCAAGGACACCTCATTCCCTCCGCTTATGATGTATTCCTCCACCAAGCCCGATCTATTGTATAAACATCTCACCTATTGTATAAACATCTCCTTCATTGTAACTACTCCTGTATTTGTACATCTCTGGCTTTCATTCACTACCCTTTGTGTACTCACTGGCTTCATCAGCTTACTGCTTAACCAATTATGGCAATTATATTGTTTTCTTTGTCAATTATGTTGTATATATATATACTGAATATAACAATGAGACATCTCATCCACTTCATGTATCACTCTTGCTTGACAACGGTACAAGAATCTGTATCGAAACGTCGCACTCACGAAATGAAGAAGTTGTTATCCATAAAAAATTGTACGTCTCAACTTCTAAAATGCCACTCAAACAAGTTATACAAAGTATGAACACGGGTGGTAGATAATCCGTAAGCTGGAAGAATACATTGTTATTGTATTTTATGTGAAGAGGTTATGGCAAGATGACCAAAAGGTGAAGAATTTACCATAGTTACAGTGCGAAAAGGCAGTACATTTGTCAATTTCATACAGGGTGTGTAGGTAATTTTTTAATCCAACAAACTACGGATGCGAGTCAGAACATCTCTTTGCATATATATAGTATTTTGTTGCGATGTTATAATCAAGGTTAATACATCATTTCGTTTTTCGTTATATCCAAAGATGATATGTTTTGCATCCAGAATTAATCTTGTGCCTGTATCTTGTTCAATCCAGGCTTTCAGTTGTTGCCACAAAATATGTGGATAATTGATTCGATTGTAACGTTACAAAATGTACAAGAAGCAGATTGTGTCAGTTTATAGTTAAATAAATCTTTGTTTGTTGCAATGATTCTTTGTACAATTTTATATTGAAGCCATCTGAATTGTGTATTACAAGTTGTTCTGAAAGGTACATAGTTAAAAACTTTCCAGAGGTGTTCTGATATATCTACGTTGATATCCCTTTCCCATTTAAGCTGGCTGTTTAGCTTTTCTTTTAATGTATGGCTCCTGAACAAGACAGAGTAGAAAATCTTGCATCCTTTACGTTCTTTGTAAAGAATATGTATATTATTAGGAATAAATGGCTCCTCTACTTTACAAAGAGTTAGTTTTTTCGAAAGTAAGTATGATTTGATAGGGTTGATGATACCCCTATATTCTAAAAAATGTGTCGTGATATTGCATAGGGAAATAAACTCCTCATAGGTAAGAAAATTACTATCTTTGTTCAGTAGATCATTAATGAATTTAATATTTCCCTTCAAGTAATGTTTATAAATAATTGGTTTTTGACCTATGGTGATATTGTCGTTTGCCCATATATATTGTTGTGAGGTATCATTATCAGTGTCATCATTTGTTTGTAAAGATTGCATATTTTCCCACGCTTCGTAAACATCTTTCCAAAAATATCCCTGATATTTGGGATAATAGTGTGTTTTAAATAGTTTGCTCCCATCTCTGTTGGATGAAGACTTTTTTGTTGGAATAGCAAAATGTCAGAATGTTTAACTAATGTTCTGTGCAGCCATGAGAGTTTTTGACCGTGTATTGTTTCAAGAATTAAAGGTACATTTAGCCCCCCATCTTTGTACGATTGAATAATTGTGTTTCGCTTGATCTTGTCAGGTTTTCCGTTCCAAACAAATTTAAAGCATCTTTTTCTGTAGACTTTGAATGATATCACTTCTTGGATTTGGCAACATGGTAAAAAGATGGTTTAGGGAAGGTAATATAAGGCTTTTAAGGACAGTAATTCTCTTCTTAACCACGTCGTCATTGTCTTATCAACTTGTTTTATTTTGTCTTTATAATTCCTTTCAACCATTTCAGCCTGGTTGTGTTGAAACTGAATTCCGAGTAAAGTAAAGGGTCTTTGGGACCAATCTAGTTTGAAGGTCTTACAGTATTGAATGCTTGAGTATTGCATAGAACCAATCCATATTATTTTAGTTATTTCTATGGTTTTTTTAAGGCCAGAAAATTCAGCATATTTATTAAGTATACCAAAGGTTGCTTGAAAGCATTTTTCCATTCCATCAAGAATAAGTGTTGTGTCGTCTGCAAATTGCGTTAATAAATATTCGATCTCAAGAACTTTAATACCCTTGACATTTTTATTTTCCTGAGTTGACGTCGAGCGAAATACGACCCCAATTCACCGTAACGGGTTCGAAATTACCAAGCCTCGTTACCTATCATGAGCTGTTCATTCATCTTGATCGGGTAAGCACGACCAATAATATTTAAGGTGAACGCCCTTTGACTCTGCTGAGAGCTTGGGCTGTGAAACACGAAAAGTGCAACGACAGTAGAACGGAATCGTTCCCGTTCTTACAGTACAAAAAGTTAAGGCAGGGCATGATCACAGAACTCCAAGTCTCCGTTTTAGATATAAAACATCAAGCAGTGAATATAGGCGCGACGCTGCACATCAGGAATGCAGCGCCTGATAAAATGTCCTACCATCGCGACCTCCGATCTTGGGGACATGCGAGGACTCAATGAACCTGGTGTCGAAGGCAAGTTATACGCCTTAGAATTAAGAAGCAACATTTACAGGTGAACAGAAGTGAGCGGTGGTGGTGGTGGAAACCTAGGAGATTTAGACGATGTCGAGACTAGAGGTCTCTTATAAACATGCAGTACAATCTCATCCGCAACAACAATCACAAATGGGTGATGGTTCCGGCTTTCGATGGTAATCTAGGCCATTTAGACAATGTCAAGACCAGAGGTCACTTGAAAAACACATTGTACCAGTTCATCCTTACCGATGATAACCAATGGACGTTGATCTCCCCCAAAATCGACTGGTTACTCAATAGCACCCTCGTTTTTCCCTATTTGTTTGCGGAGACAAAGGATCATTATTTAACGAAAGATTCGTTTATTCGAGATAAAGAATTACTACCATGAAGTTGCCATTGACAGCGGGGTACATTGAAATGTTACTCGCTTGTAAGCGGGGTACATTGAAAATAATAGAAGAGCGCTCAGCCAATCATAAAAAGGCATTTGTGTGTGAAGTAATATAAAAGCATATATATATACATTGCATTACTGATACTAAATTTGTGTTATATATATATAAGAAGAAGTTTCTGAAGTTTCTTCTGGAGAAGATCCGTGTCGTCTGATTATTTCAGAAACTTCTTCTTATATATGTACTACTGTACGCTCGGTATTCTTATCACTTTCTTTATATATATATATATATATTTATATATATATATATATATATATATTTGCCAAAAGATTTAACCAAAATATATATTTCTGCACAAAGTCTTTCGCCGTTCAACGGCTCTTCAAGTGTACAATGAAAGCTGAGTGTCGTCATAGGTGACACATAACGGTAATAGCTATGTCGTCATCATGCGTATGACGTTATTAAGCAGTTAGTGACAATAGCGGGAGTCATAGGTGACAGTAAGGTTTCGTTTGTGACGTCATCGTGTTTTTGATGTCATATTTAGAAACAATAGTGGTGGACGTGTATGCATTATGGTTTCAGTGCACACATACATACTGAGTTACATTGAAAAAGTGACAAAAATATACTTTTGAATTAAGCTTAGGTTTAAACAGCCTTATTAGTCCAGTCAAAATGTGACAAAACCTCCAAATAATTGGTACCGAAGTGATTTGAGTGTTTTCAACATGTTTAAGTAATAACTAATGAGTATTAAAAAGTCCTCCCTTGAAATATGATGCTGAGTCCTATTTTTGGGGGTTAAAAAGTTTTAAAATTGAACTCTTCAGTAAATATTTTTTAAAATGTCATACTTAGACACAAATATATATTTTTCAAAGAGTACACATGGGCACTATCAATGGAAGAATAAGAAAAGTTAAATAATGTTATCCGAAAAAAACAATTGAAATTTTCAGAGAATATGTTTTAAAATTTCATACTGAGACACAAATGTACTTTTTATGGATATTTTCAAAGATAGCATAAGGTACTACTAAAACATGGGTTACAAAAGTCAAATAGATGTATGCTAAATATTATTATGGGGTAAAAACGAAAAGTTAAAATTTTCAGAGAATAAATTTTATAATCTCAACCTGAGACCCAAGAGTACTTTTATATGCATATTTTCAAAGAGGACCTAAAGGGCGTCAGTTTCAGCATAGGAAGAGGGCCCTGGCCATCCACTGGAACCGGATCTTGCTGAGGTTGGAGGATGACGAAGGTGTCATCCACTTTGCGATACCAACATGTGGGTTTGAAGGGTGCAGTATCCAGTGCTTTATCTTCCAGGTCCGTCACTGGATACTGCACCCTTCAAACCCATATGTTGGTATCGCAAAGTGGATGACACCTTCGTCATCCTCCAACCTCAGCAAGATCCCACTCAGCTTCTCACCCATCTCAACAACCAACATCCCCGCATCAAGTTCACCATGGAAACCGAGCAGAACCAGCAACTACCTTTCCTTGACGTCCTTGTGTCCCGCACCTCCAGCAACCAACTCCAGACCACTGTATACAGAAAACCCACCCATACGGATCAGTATATTCACTACAACTCCAATCATCCACCTAAAGTTAAGACCGGCATCATCTCCACACTAACCAGAAGGGCCAAAAACATCTGCTCAACTAAACTACAAGATGAAATCGAACACCTCAAGAAAGTCTTTGTAGAACGCAACCACTTTCCATCCCAAATAGTCAACAGAACCATCGCTGCCACCCTGTCACCCCCTACCAAAAGACCCAAACAAGATTTAGCCCCCATCAAGATATCCATCCCCTACATTGGCAAACCGTCACATCAAATCAGCCGCCTCCTGAAAGATCAAGCTGGCATAGATACCACCTTCTCCGCGTCCTCCAACCTTAACAACATTCTCCATGCCAATGGAAGAAAACCCAACACCATAAAGAACAACAACCCAAAATGTGTCATCTACAAAATAAACTGTGATTGTGGGCAGAGCTACATAGGCGAAACTTTCCGACCCATCAACACCCGAGTGAAAGAACATCAGACCTCTGTTACCAATTCCGACAGCAAATCAGCCATTTTCGACCACATCAAAGCAAGCCCCAATCATCAAATAGAGTGGTCTGACATCACCATTCTCTCTAACAACCAAACAGACTTCACTAAACGCAAGCTCACCGAAGCCATCCACATCAAACGCCAAAAGCCCACCATCAACCGAGACCAAGGATACTTCATTCCATCCGCTTATGATGCACTCATCCACCAAGCCCAATCCACTGTATAAACTCACTGCTGTATAATCATGTCATTATCATTTGTACATCATTGGCTTCTACGCCTGTCCTTTGTCTACTCTCTGGCTTCATCAGCCTTCTGCCTAGCCAATTATGTTAATTATGTTGTTTTCTTTGTCACATTGTCACATCCAGTATATATACACTTTCCCCCTCTTCATGTCCCATTATGCTTGACAACGGTACAAGAATCTGTATCGAAACGTCGCACTCACGAATAAAAAGAAGTTGTTATCCATAAAGTTTGTTCTATATTATAAATATCTAGGTGTTGTTTTTACCACAAAATTGATATGGTCGAGGACATGTGAAACACTAAGTCTTCAAGCCAAAAAAGCCTCTTTCCCTATATTTAAAATGTTTAAAGATCTTCCACATATATCTTTGAAAGTTTCTTCAGCAATATTTGATAGTAAGATATCCCCAATATTATTGTACGGTAGTGAAATCTGGGGGAATTCATATCGTCCTCACATTGAGAAAACCCAATGTTTCTTTTTCAAACGTTTTCTGTGTGTTAATAAAAATGTTTCTTCCAATGCTGTACTTGGTGAAATTGGCAGGACCCAATTATGCGTTAAATATTACGGCAGATGTATCAAATATTGGTGCAGAATATTACATATGGACAATAATCGACATCCCAAATCATGTTATGAAATGTTAAAGTTGCAAGACGATAGTGGCAGCTGCAACTGGGTTACGCATGTGCGTCTACTTTTATTCCCAACTGGATTTTCTTACGTTTGGATTACACAGGAATGTGGGAATATAGAAACGTTTATAAGTGAATTTAGACAAAGATGTCAAGATATTGAAATTCAAAATTGGCAAAAATACATATTGGAACTTTGTCATAACAAGGACCTTATACGCATTTTATGCAAATTCCGCTGTTTAAGCCATAAGTTAAATGTTCAACAACAACGTTATGATAATAATATAGATTTCAATGTGTTGATATGTGACAAATGTGATTTTAATGTTACACAGGATGAATTTCTTTTTTTACTTGTGTGTCCATTCTATTCTGTACAAAGAAAACTGTACTTACCTAGTTATTACCATACGTTCCCATCAAGATTAAAATTTAAACAACTTCTTACAACAACAAATGCACATCTATTGAAGTCAATAGCATTATTTCTAAAGCGTAACTTGCCTGTATGAAAATGAACTAATTACATTGTTTTTGTCTGTCTATCCGCACAATACTGTTCTTATATGTTTGTACTCTTGGCCATGTGACCTCAAATACTGAATAAACTTCTTCTTCTTCTTCTTCTTCTTCTTCTTCTTCTTCTTCATAGAACTACTAAGACATGGACTGGAAAAGTCATAATTTGAATAAAACCATACATAGAAGACTTTTCAGAGCATATATTTTCTATTTTAAAGGGTAAAATAAACACAACTTCAGGAACACGCAATTTAGTTCCTCTTTTTGCCTCATCAAAGTTATGATTAATCTATCCTCTATCAATATGGAGAAGCTGTTATATCTCTAAAACTAACACATATTAGTAGTATAGGGAATGGGGAGAAAAAGACGTATAGGTACACCTTGATTAGAAGCTTCCATACGGGCTAATGCTGCTACCAGCCTAGTATAAAATGAGTGGTTGCACAAAACTTCAACAAGACCACTTTCGGCGGCTCCCAACGCAAGTGCACTCCCAATTAG